TTTTGAGACCGGCGGGCGGTATACACAGCAGCGCTTGGTAACGACGAATTCGATGTGCATTACAGAGGTGTTATGAGTTGGCTATGTTTGCTTTCAAATCGTCTTGTTTTTTTCTACGCGGAATATCCCCCTGAGCTTGATAGACTTGGGTCTCTTTTCTCTCTTTTTTTTTTCGAAACGGCGTTCTCCTCTATCGCAGAGTACACAAAAAGTTATTCAAAATAGGACCTCGAGTTCCACAGGCGTTGTCATTTTCGGAGATAGTTGATAGACATGACGGCTATCCTGACAAGTACATCTTGGAGGGTCCCGTAATACCACACTCTACATACTTCACACTACTATTTGGCTCCTCCCTCAACCTCATCGTTCATTTCCGGACTATATCGTGATGACGCTCATCCAACGGACATGCGTGTCGGAGTTCAAACCTACACAATTCACCACTTGGTTCCCCCCTCAACCTCATCGTTCATCTCCGGACAATTTCGTGATGACGCTCATCCATCGGACATGCGCCCTTCCAAGCCGCGTCCAAACATCGCTAATCTGGCTACACATGACTACCGACCGGGCCCGTCGCCTGTTCGGTGTAGCGCGCCGTTTGGTTCTTACCACCAACCTGCGCTACCAACGTACCGAGGGATACGCCACCGCATTCGTACAATGGGTTCCCTTGCACACGAACAACCACGAGGTACCCTCATGCCAAGGTTACAACATCCCGCTACGTACCAGCCATCACATGCCGACGTATTGCCACTCACGCAAGGTCCTCCAGGGTCACAGCTTACCATGCCACGTGCCATGGTAGTAGTGCTGGTGTTCTGACTCGTCCGCGCGCCTCAGCCGCCAAGAAAACGCTTTGTCCCGCCACAGGCCGCAGCGCTCATCGTCGTTCTGCTGCGCGTCATGCAAGCGGACTGCTGTTTGGGGACAAGGCTGGTACGTGAGCATTGACACTCCAGGGCTGTCAGTCCGCCGCCAGCCCCTAGTTTAGGTCGAAAGGGTAGGTGCAGAGCCGCATGACCTAGCTTCGTAGGGTCTATTGGTTTTGGCCTCGACAACTCCCGCCCCGGCTTTGTTGTGTGTGTGGACGCGCACGCCGTAGTTAGCCGGGTTGTATTGTTGGATGGCCCGACTCTCAGCCAATAGACGCGTTGCCACGAGACGGTGCTCCAACGACTGGGGAAACAAACTATCGATGATGGAGCAGGGAGAAAGAACGAGAACGAACGATGTGGTATTGCATGAAATCGTTGGGAAACACCTCGGGAGGAAGAAAGGATCTGGACATTGAGCTGACATATGTACGTGTGATGATCGACGCAGAGCCGCGTTTACGTTTCCGGCGATTTGGTAGTAATCGACAGAGCAGCGAATCGTTGATCTCGTGCTGTGGGGTGCCCACGAACCCTTTTCTTCCTCCAGCGATCAGATCCTACAAAAGTTCTTCCGGAGTACAACGACGGACGCACACGAGTCTTTGCCCAATGCAGAGACATGTGCATGAGTAGGAGTGCTTCCGTGTTTAATCTCCGCGAGTACATTGAGCTATGCAGTAGTAGTAGTAGAGGCACCCGCTACATGTCTAACAAAAACACGCTCATGTGTAGACGCGGGTGTTACTGGGGCTATCAAGATTAAAGCGGGGCAGGGTGAGTTTCTATTACCCCCAGATAATTCTACTTGGGGTTAAGTAGAAGAAGTGGGCATGAAAGCACGGTGACTAGACGGATAGAACCACCCTGCTAAAATATTCTAAAATATTGAAAGGTGTTCTTAGGTTCTTCTACGCGCCGAGAAGGATTGGGACTGCATATGTATTAACAGGACTAAGGGAACTAAACTTAAGGGATGTTTAGAACGGCACATCAGTAGCGGTGTGCAAGGAAGTATGCAGATGGCAGATGCTTGGTGTGGATGGGTGGACGGATGGAAGGATGTGGAGAATATTTAGGATGACTTGTGACGCGGTTGGTATGCAAGACATTCTTTGGTTCGCAGGGAGGTGGGCGCGATGGGCATGAGTGCATCTGCATGTGCGTAAGTGTTGGTGTGGTGGTTGTCAGAATTTTGGCGAGGCGGGGCTAGCTGTAGTGTAGGCGGGACTTGTGTGGGTATAGTTGCGACGACGGCAGTTTGTTGGGTTGGTACATGTGTGCTTTGGGAGTGTGGATGAGGTAAGTTGAGAGAAGTACCATCTCATCGTTGTGTGACTGTCATCGTATATCGTACCAGATCTTGGTGATGCGTCACACGAAGAGCTTGGGGCACTTAAGAACCCGGCATGGATGGGTTCAAGCACGCAGCGCTCAGACCATCGCGCTTTCCTCATCAACTTCTCACTCTTGTCGCGCATCCTTCACATCACTCCCGTGTACGTTTAACATCAGTCGTTCGACCCCATCGAGTGCTTAGTGATAGAAACAAAGCACCTTGGCGCTTATACACAGCGATGTAAGCTGCCGTGCTGTGCCACACAGTCGACTTGGTACTTTACCGAGATAATATTGCAAGGGATGTCTCGAGATGCACACTGTAGCCGCGGCTGAGCCGGATATCTTGCCCATCACATGCCAGATCGCAACAACGTTACCCGGTAGCTGGTGTTATTACTTCAACTACTGCAAACGGCTATCACGATCACCATATCCATCTATTAAGTGTTGTCTTCCCTACACCATTGTCATCCCGCTTGATCAATCTTCTCGATCGTGATACCGCGCAATGTCTGCACCCGGCCCTGAAGAACCGTCTTTTCATCCTGTTGCGCGTGCGCCGGCGCCTTGGAAACTCACGGCGGAGGTGTATATGCTGTTTCATGTGTTGAAGGGGTTGCCTGGGGGTGTGCATGGAGGGCTTGAGGGGAAGGAGGGTGGGTGGGATGATGAGGCGATGGGGAGGTTTGAGGGGGGGTTGGGGACGGTGTGTATTGTTAGGTATAGGGATACGCCTGTTGGTATGTGAGATGTCTTTTCTATGCATGAACGGAGATGAGACAGAAAGGAAGGGTGAAGGATCATGGATGGAAGGGATGGTGGGTATTGTGGATGTCAAACGCGACTTCTATTGAGGTGTAGAAAAGAGTGGGATGAATACACTAGAAGAGAACACGAGATGACAACAATTCTAGTAATTCCTCTGACCTCATCACAGGCCCCTACGACGAACTCCTCCTCGTCCCCGGAAACTTCACCGTCCCACAACCAACAACCACCCCGTCCGGCCAGCCACACATCAAAATCCCCAAGAAAGCCCAACGCATATCACGCATCTACGTCTCCCAACGCACAACAACCTACAACGGGCGCCTAAATTGGAACATTCCCAAACAGCTCGCCCGCTTCTCTTTCTCCGCACCGCCTACTGCCCCCGGCGCCTCACCCCCATCCACTCTCACTGTGCAAGTCTTCCCGCCTGGCACCAAAGAAGGAGATGGCGGCGCACCCTTCTTTGCCTGTACTCTCAAACCCTGGCAATGGGTTCCGCCAATGCCGTTGAACACGAAATACCTTCCACTTAGCATGGCCGCCGCGCAACCGCCCCTCCCATCTGCGCCGGGCCACGAAAAAGCGGTCGAAGAGGTACAAGAAGGACTACAGGTAGACGACTACGACACAGACATTAAGAAGATGGACGCGGTGCTAGTAGGAACACAGAAGTGGCGGGCGTTTGATATTGCAGCGGTCACGCCGAGGGCGCGGGGGTGCTGGGTTGAGGTGCATGAGAAGAAGGAGAGTGAGGTTGTGGAACAGAGTGAGGAGAATTGGTGGCCGAAGGGACTGGGGGCGTGGAGTGTGGGGGCTTGGATGGAGGATGTGGATTGGAAGTTGGGGGAGGTGGTGGAGTGGACGGTGTAGGTATACGATGACGTATGCGGAAAGAGCGGACGTCACATCTGCCGACCGACTTTTTTCTGTTTATCCAGCACGGTAGGCGCTGGAATGCGGTGCGTTTTACTATGTCTTCTCATCTCGTATAGTGAGGGTTGAGGAACTGCAACGCCCTTGGCTACGTGGACTGTCTTCTCATCTCGGGTACTGAGAGTGTGGAGCGAACGCTGATGGTTTCCAATCGAAGCGTGTGGAAGTGAAAGGCGCGCCTGCTGTGCGTTTGTTTACACTGCCTAAGTGCAGCTGCCTTGAAAGCGCGCACGAGCGCAAACCACGTGGGATTAGATTGGACCCTTCATTGTCACTTTACTGTCACTTTGCTCTCAGTCTAGCAATATCTCGTACAGGAACCGCACGCATATTCAACTTCAATCACACTATCTTCACTCGCGTGTATTGCTCTTTTCACATTCAGTTAGCCTCTACCTCCGCAAAAAAGCACAAATTGCATGCCCTTCAAACGCATGTTGATATTGGTGAGTGTGCGCCAAGTGAACCCTCAATCTGCAATCTCAACTAACATGGATACAGTCAGTCATACTGATAGCGATACTCTTCATCATGATGCGCTCTTTCTTACCGTATGACGTCCGCTGGACAGCCAAGCTACTCCGCCGCGATATACGCAACCTCCGGGCGAAGTACACTACACGATCGAAGCACCAAGGCGGTCCTGTAGACGTTGCGAGAAGCAGCTCGGCGCACCAACAGGCTTGTACCAAGAACGTATCACAACTGCCGCAAGGTATTCCGTGCAGCAAACTGTCATCACAGCATGTCGGCCAAGACAGCGTATACTCCAAACCGCCCCAAGATAGTCCCAGGACTCCCCAAATCAGCAGAGAGAACTGTCCTGGTACACTCTACGACCTCTTAGAAAGCAGACTTAGGGCTACATATGCTTCTCGCGACCGCGACATGTCGCACGAAGAACGATGGAGATTCCGCGGTAGTTGGCTAGTGCTCCACAGAGCCATCCAAGGATGTCGCTCGGACAAGAGCGATGATGCCTCCAGCGTCGGCACGGATGAAGCCAGCGACCATACAATGCTTCTGGATATGCTGAACCACAGCACTCGATCACCTACACCCAAGGTCAGCAAGATGCCAGATGTACCATATACCCGGCACGAGAGCGAACATGACCGCTATGATTCCATGTTTGGCGATGCTCCTACACCCACACTCACACCGTCTCCCGCGCAGCTATGGCTTTCCATTCTTGAAGCCACCGACGACACCCAGAAGATTGCGCCAATGGCTGAACAGCTCCTGGGGTACATTTCGCAAGAGAAGAAAGCTTTCGACATCATCGAGCAGGTCGGAAACCCCCACAAGAAGTTTTCCAATGCCGATGACGCTCAACTCCGACTTCAACTCCGAGAATTACTATGTCCGGAGACAAAGTCGTCCAGACCATCATGCTGACTTCACCGCCAATGTCCAGCAGAGTCTTGGTTCTCGGCGTCTAGGGCGAATCATGCACCGGGTCGGAATAGAGGTGTGCTGAAAACCCTTCGTCGGCAGCGGGCGATACCGCATTGCGAGTGGTTGCCGAAGCGGCAGAGTGGGTCTATTGGTCATGGCTCGTTACCCCTCCTGTGGCATCCAACCTACTTATACCGCTCGGGGAGCTCGACTATGCAACACCAAACCGCTCGGGGAACCACAATCTGCGATTCAAATTCGGCGCGCATCATCGATTGGGAGGTACTTCAGGGCTGCGAGGACGCTTTTCGGGGACTGTGCAGGAGCTTGCGACATCTTTCACGCCTTTGACATCAACTTACAGCGCAATAACGCGCATCGTCATACATATTAGACGAAACCTCCCCCCAAACCAACTCGACCCTTCGTATGAGCAGCGAACCAAAAGGCAGCACGCCAGGATCACTTAGCCCACACAACAACTTGACCAGAGTCAATACTTATCCTCACGCCGAATTTACAATCCCGCCATCGGACACACTGTCACCATGCCCAAGTGCCCAAACTCACAACGCCGATGCCCCGGCATCGGCCAACTTCAAGGAGAATCGCCCAAGCAACACTGCAACTGGAGATGAAAAAGCTCACCGACCTCTTGATGAGGAATCTCGATCAACGTCTATTGCCAATGACGAAGTAACCTATCCGGAAGGTGGCCTAGGTGCCTGGTCTGTCGTTCTAGGGTCCTTCCTTGGACTCATCGCATCCTTGGGTATGATGAACACAGTCGGTATCTACCATGCCTACATTGCCGAGCACTACCTTGCAGACTACACCGAGTCGACCATCTCGTGGATCTTCAGCATGTACGTCTTCCTGTCGTTCTTCTGCGGACTCCAGATTGGACCCATATTCGATGCGCACGGCCCGAAGCTATTGGTGCTGGCAGGTAGCATCCTGCTGTGCTTGTCAAACTTCCTGCTCGGGATTTGCACACTGTACTGGCACTTCTTCCTCGTCTTCGGCGTACTTGGGGGTCTCGGTACATCGTTGATCTTCACGCCTGCGTTCGCCGCAGTCAGCCACTTCTTCCTGCAAAAGCGAGGCAACGCAACGGGTATCGCCGCAGCTGGAGGCTCGCTGGGTGGTGTCATATTCCCGTTGGCGTTGGAGAAGCTGCTACCCAGGGTTGGATTCCCATGGGCAACTCGCATCATCGGCTTCATCACGCTCTTCTGCTGTATTGGTGCCTGCTTCCTCATCCGCTCCCGCCTACCACCTAAAGCTGGACAATCAGTATGGCCTGATTTCCGGATCTTCCGGCACAAGAGCTACTTCCTGCTCACGGTCGGCATCTTCATGATGGAGTGGGCACTCTTCATCCCGATCACGTACCTCACCACCTTTGCGGTCAGTACCGGCGCATTCAGCCCGTCGTTCTCGTACCAACTCATCGCAATCTTCAACGCGGGAAGTTGTCTCGGTCGCTGGGTCCCAGGCTTCCTAGCCGATAAGCTCGGGCGCTTCAACAGCATGATTGCTGCACTCGCCATTTGCTCAGCTACATCGCTAGTCTTCTGGCTGCCCGCATCGCTACTCACCCCCACCTCCGCGGCCGAAGCTACGGCTATCAAAGCACTCTCCATTGTCTACGCGGTCTTGTTTGGTTTCGCATCTGGCTCCAACATCTCATTGACGCCAGTCTGCGTCGGCCAGCTTTGCGATACGAATGTCTACGGCAGGTACTACGCTACCTGTTACACCGTGGTCAGCTTCAGCACGCTTACGGGTATTCCTATTGCGGGTGCTATCATCCAGGCCACTGGTGGACACTACTGGGGAGTGGTCATCTGGACCGCAGCTTGCTACATCGTGGCGTCACTTTGCTTTGTGTGGAGTCGCGCACTCCAAGTTGGCTGGAAGTTGGGTGTGAAGTTCTGAGGATTGGTGTTGGCGGCCACGTGGGGTTGTGGGGAGGCTGAACGTGCAAGGACTTGCCAGCGTACTCGTCGTTGCCGTTGGACTGCGATTCGATCGCTGTAACAGGAGGATGATGCAATACGAGGGGGACACAAATTGGAAAAAGAAGGCGGGAATTGCTTTTGCGCACTTGCGTACTCGACTGTGGACGGCGGTTTCACGTCCCCTTACACTCTTTACTTGATTTTAGGACGATCTTCGCGGGCATAGTACACGAAGAATAAACACTCTTTCTTGCGCATGATCTTAGCAAACCGGCTCCCATTTTGAGTTTCAACGTGATACCAAGCTTGCGGATGATCTCCCGCTATTCGGAGCAGCCACCGCAGCTGGAATGAATCCCTTGCCTGGAAATTCCCATGCATCACCGCGGCTAGAATTCGACTTTTCGTCCAATCTCCACTCAATAAACGCCTGCACACTCGACAACATTGTTGCGGAAACATTGTACCCGTAGCATTGGCGCCGTCTGCTTGGCCAAGGACGGCGGCGCGCAATAGCGAGGCGATGGAGGCCACTTTACCCCTGAGCCAATCCAGCTACAAACACGTGGGTCGGCTAGCGAAACGCCGCAAGCAGCACCGGGCGCACCTCCCTCCGAACATCGAGCGCGAAAGTATCGCGTCCTCCGTCGCCATTGACTTTGCTTGTTGTTCCGCCTCGCGTCCATCGCCGTCACGACGCATTGGCTTGCAGCGTCCAGCAGCAAGATCTGCACCGCGCCATTGCCCCTCTATAGTTAGTAGCGTCTCCGTCATTCGCGGACCGTCGCGAGCAAGCCAAGCGAAAAGACAACTGTACAACGCCTCTGGGATTCCTTCTGAGATGATTGACAGTAAGCGCTGCGGCGATCGTCCCAGGCGTACCGTTCCGCGAGAATGCGAGTCGTACATCTGCCGTCGACCGAATCCAGGCATCTAGCTACCCGTTTCGGGACTACAGAGAGGCGCGATTAGGTTTGTAGCACGACAAGGCACCCGTTATTGGTAATTGAACCATGGCTCCTAGCGGTAAGCAAGGCGAAATGGCACGACAACCGCGACGAGAATGACTTGATTCGTGGGCGCGCCACGATTTCAGCTCCTCCAATTTGGCAAAAAGAAGGGGAAAGGTGGGGAGCGTACTTGTCAAGCTCCTGTCGCTCTTGTAGCTTTCTTCTGCGGTGGGTACGCGGATGCTTTTCTTTACCCTGCATATTTTCTTTTGTCGCTATCCTGAACCCTGATTGTCTGCTTTATCAGGCCTGGATGTCAGGTTCGCGAGTATGAAATCTAAGTCTTGCGGTTGCCTTAGTAGCAGATACTCAAGCGACATGGAGCCCCCAATTCCCCGCAATATCGACCTTGATCTGGATCGGGACACAACGAGACCGACGGCGTTGAAACGAAAGGGTTCAACACTGCAAACTTCGGTGGAGGTTATGAGATGCAAGTTCGGGAAGCCAGCGGGATCACCGGAGGGTGCTGGCGAGTTCAAGCCATCGAAAGATTGGACACCGATATACTATGCTGTCTACCACCAACGAGAGGCAGCGCTTTCACATTTCCTCCGCGCTGGCGCAATACCAAATGATGTCGCTGGCTTGGGACTCCCACCGTTATGCATCGCCATCGCCAACGGCTACGCGAGTCTCGCGAGAATACTGTTAGATGCTGGTGCCGATGCCGATGCTGCGATCAAGACCAGCGGCGAAACCGCGCTCCACATAGCCGTCAAGAATGGCCGCAGCGATCTCATCGAACTTTTGATCCCATACGGACCCAACCTCGAGACGAAGACGAACGACACCGGCGAGACACCCCTCCACTACGCAGCGTCAAAGTCCGGATCATTAGCCACAGTCATGACTTTACTCAAACATGGCGCCAGCTACGAAGCGCTCAACGGTCTCAGTCAGACGCCAGCCGAAGCTGCTCTACACGCCAACAACATCCAGGGCGCCGTGGCAATTATCAACGCGGCACATGGCAAGCGCAACAAGCTGGAGAAGGAGAGGGAGATGCTGCTGAAGCACGTGAAGAAGACACAGGGCCGTTTCTCCGTAGGCAATGACCTCATCGCGGATATCTTCGCCGCAGCTTGCGATTCAGAGTCCAACGTCCTTGTGGAGGCCATCAAGAGAGATGACGCGAGCTTGGTGGAGATGTTTCTAGAGAAAGGCTCGGATCCGGATCGCGAGACCGCCAACGGCCTTCGTCCCATCTTCGTCGCATTGGAATGTGCCGGTGCGCCGGTAATAAGTGCACTACTGAAGCGCAACCCGGATCTCACCATCCGCGACAGAAAGGGCCTTACTGTACTCCAGGCCACCTTCGAGAGCCCACTAGCCCAAGAGAAGGAGACCATGTCTATCATTCTGGGTGCTCTGCTTGAGCAGGGCGCTGACGCAACAGTGACATACCCGGACGGCAAGACACTGCTTCATCATGCCGTATCTCCTCGTTTCAGCCATCCTAAAATCGCGCTTCAGCTCATTGACGCTGGCGCTGAGGTCAATGCGAGGGACCAAGACGGCGACACGCCTCTCCATCTCGCAACGCACAGTAGAGTCTGCACAGAGCTGTTGCTAAGACAAAGAGCAAACGCAGATCTTACTAATGCTGAAGAGCTTACGCCTTTGCTCAATGCTACAACGAACAGTACAAAAGACCAGGAGCCAGATCTGGAGTCGCTCATCAAGGCATCTGACCTCCGCAAGACCAACATGAACGGACAAACAGCGCTGCATCTTGCCGCATCCAATGGATTGGAGAGGACAGTACAGTCGTTACTACGAGCTCGCGCGAATACAGCCATCGGCGACAAGGTCAAGAACACGCCGCTTCTTCTCGCCGTAAAGCATCACCAATGGTCCATCGTACCACTGCTCACGATACCACCGAGCATCAACTCCTGGGATGAAGACGGCATGAGTCCTCTCCATCTCATTGCTTGCACCGTACCCAAAGCGCCGGCGACATGGAACGACATCGCCGCCATTGTTGGCCCCTTCTGCGAACGCGGCGTCAGCCGGACTACACGCGAGCGATCAGGTGCTACACCGCTCATCCTTGCCATCAAGACACTGCCGGAGGACGGCTTACCCGTGATCGAGGCCTTGCTAGCACAGAAGGCGGACCGCAAAGCGAGTCGGAACTGCGTCAACCACGAAGATCACAAGAAGCAAGATGCGCTGTTCTACGCGGTGACGACAGGCAAGCCTATCTTCGTGGATGCGCTGCTCAAGCACGGTGCCACATTCGACTTTGAAGACTGGGTGCCTGCTAAGAGCAAGTTGCAGCTTTCGGTGGAGGCCGATAAGCGAATTCTAAAGCTTTTTGCGCAGTACGAGTGGATGAAGCGCGCAGGGTTACTGCGAAGACGGCCTAGCAATCCTGTTGCGGAAGTCTCGTCTTTCTCCACGACGTTGCCTGTCAAGGACCTTGAGCAGATGGTCGCGATGGGTTTGGATGTGAATGCTTTACCGCGATCAGCTCTGGGCGTCTCTTTGATATGCGCGGTCCTTCGCCACATTACTCTTCAACCGCCAATGCCCGCGGAGTACGTCTTGAGCATACTCAATGTGGTTCTTGATGGAGGTGCGAACCCGAATGCGGGCATTCCTCGAAGCTCAATGCGTTCGTCGTCGCCACGGTCTGCGGTAGAGTCAACGCAGACCTCTGTTCTGACGCAGCATCCGCTCACATTCTTGCTTGAAGAGTGCCCGGAAGTCGCATTGGATGTCCTGATGCTGCTGGTAGTGAAGGGTGCGCAGCTTACTATCGCATCTCCGTTTTCCAACGGTCGCTTGCCACTTCACTCGGCGGTTGTGGCGCATCGCTTTGATGTGGTGCAAGAGTTCCTGCTGCACGGGGCGGATGTGAACAGTCTCGATAACAAGGGACGAACACCACTCTTCATGGCCGCTGAAGGTGGGGATTGGGAGATCTTGAACTTGTTGCTTCGGAGCGGCGCCCGCATGGACACGCTCGATGTAGAGAACAACACACCCTTGCACGCCGCAGCTGTCGGTGGCAATGACAAGATTGCCTCCTCCCTCCTCCTTGAAGGCGCCAAAGCAAATTTAAAGAACGTGGCAGGCCTAACACCCATGGCATGTGTAGGCGACAACTATTCCGAGGAAGGTCGGAGCCTAATCGTAGCCATGCTCAAAGAAGCCGAAGAGAAGGAGCAAAAAGACGAACAAAACCAACGGAACCGCATCGAAGCAACAGCCGCGCACGAAGCCAAGGTCCAGCAGCTGAAGGATGACGAAGCGACAGCAAAGCTCCAACGAGAGCAAGACGCGCTCCTCCGCATCCAGAAAGCCAACGAAGAAGCCGCAGCCCAACGTCTCCCCCAGCAACAACACCAACAGTCCCTCCCCGCCCCAATGCCCACATCCCCACCACAACCCACAACGCGCAAACCGTCCTTCCTATCCCGAAAAACCTCCCTCTTCTTCAACAAGTCCAAAGCTGCGACCCCACAACTCCCTTCAGATACCCTCCCCAAACCAAAACAAGCATCCCTCCTCCGCCTCCGCATCAACACACCACCCACCAAGTCCCATCCTCACCCAAACTCCCACCTCGAACCCCCCGTCATACCCAACCGCGCCATTCCCTCCCCCCACATCCTCGCCAGCCCCGACTTCTTCAGCACAGAATTCAACAACATGATGGACCCAACACGGCCTGTTATCGCGTTGCCGGCGGCGATACAGCGGCGCACGACTGCGGCGAGAGTGGATAGTGGGTTGAGTGAGAAGCGGGGAAGTAGGAGTAGTAGTGGTGTGACGGGGATTTTGGATTTGGAGATTGTGAATGAGAAGCTAAGTAGTCCGAAGGTGGTTCAGAGGGAGAGTGGGGGGGAGTTGGCGGATTGGTTGGCGTTGACGAGGTTGATGGATAGGTTGTGAGAGGTTGACGTTCTCTTTTCTTGAGATTTTCACGACTTCTCTTTTTGTTTATACCAGATCTTTCTTCTTTTTGCTTCTTCGATATTTCATAGCTTTCACGTTGGCGATGTCCTTGCGGCATATCTTGGAGTGCGCTTTCCTTTGTAGTAGTGGTACTTGCCTGGAGGTATACGATGCTAGGATGTACATGTTGATACCCGGACTTTTGATTCTGTACAATACACTTGTTGACCAACTATCCCAGTTGGTCGCCCTGTTGCAATTCAAGTGCGTACGTCAATTGCTATCGAATCCACCCCGTATCCCAAGCGTTTGAACCTCATCTACGTATGCCGTGCTCTCATCCTTCAACTTCCTCTTCCTCATCGTCATCATCATCCTCTTCCCAATCAAACGCCCCCTCCTCATCGCTATCCTCCAACAACCGATCAACGATATCATCCTGATTTTTCCACACCCGCTTCACAAGATCGAACACCCAATCCGGCCTAACCTCCACCTTCTCGGCGGCCTTCTTAAACCGCTCCTGAACACACACCAACCCATTCTCCACGTCTTCATACGACGGCACTTTCGTCCTAACCATCCCGAGAACATCATCCTCAATCACAATATCCAATGTTTCGAGTTGAGCCTTTGCGATGTCGCGGAAGAAGTTATTCCAGTTGCCGCAAAAAGCGTTGACAATAGTCAGGTGTTTGAGACTCTGGTGGAAGTGGTTCAAACAGTCTTCGTGCCATAGAATACCATTTGCCGAGGCTTCAAATCGGGGGTCGTATCGAATAGTTAGGGATTCAAGTTCTGCTGCTTTCCCGTCCGGGATGTCTGGACCCGGCTCGTTCTCAGATCTGACCTGGTTAAAATTTAAAGTCAGGTCGCGTAGGCTGGGGAAGCTATCATTTGTTAAGAGTATTTCGGTGTGAACCGGTGGGGGAGACGACCCGAAGGTATTTGCAAAGGTGGGTCTGTCGTCGATACTACTCGCAATACGTAGGAATCTCAACGATGGGTGGTTGAGACACAGCTTGTTTGTTTGTGTAAGAACCTCGTACAAAACGTACTTCGAGACGGAGGTCTTGAAGGATTGGAAAACAATGGAAGGTACTGGCATTGCGAAGCTGGTTGGGTGGATTTCGGCTCGCTGTAGAGCTCGAAGTGCAACGTCAAGGCCGATCATCATCCCGCTGTATGCGACGGCCTCCGAGCTTGCGTCTCGCTTTGAGCCCCTGGCGTATGGGCTCCTACATCCCTGCAAGCGGCCGTGCTCTTCACCAACTTCCTTGAATAGCGTTTCGTAACGGCTCCAGGCATCGATCTCGGGTTCGACGAAGGCGAAAGTATGTAATTGCTTGAATGGAGCCAAGCTTTTCGCGATGGTGGTTATCAGCCCCTCTTTCGCTAAGACGTATTCGGCGACGGCATCATAATGCGCCCCATATAATCTGGGGTGTACGATGGAAGAGTACCATACTTTGCCGAAGATGGACTTATTTTCCTCTTTCAACTTTTCCCAGCGCGACTCCAGATCAGGTAGAACTATTGTTCTCAACCAACCCACGTTCATCTCTGAAGAAGATTCGGGAAAGAGGTTCTGTGCGTAGTTCCTACTCCCAGCTACCCTGTCGTTTTCCATCTCTTCTGAAAGCGTGGAAGCGTGCGCGAACCTTTCCAACAGGGCGGTTCTGCGTTGCATACGGAATCTGTCCTGAGCCGATACCGTACGTTCCGTGACTTCTTTGATTGCATTATTATGTCGATGGTTTGCTTCGTCTCTGAGAGCGACAGGATTTTCGTGATATTCCTCATAACAGCAAGTCATGCGAAGAGACTTGATCGCCTGGGCTAAGGCATCCACCTTGCTGATTTCACTCAACGAACGAAGATCATGGGGACTACGAATGTCCCAAGCCTGTGGTGAGATACCAATGTCAGCTGTGCCGATCGTACTAGACCACATTCCGCTCCCAGCGCAACTTGTCCTTGCGTCGAAGCTGGTGATGTACATACCTTCGCTTGAAGAGCCTCGACGAGGTGGGATTGGGCACATGCTTTGAATCGCTTGTTCACCAGTCGCATCGCCGCCATTGGCGTGCCACCAGCGACCACCAAGTCTGTAATGAGGTTTAGTAGCTCGTTCGGTAGACTACCGAGTTGCGCTTTGTCATCGCCGATATCTGCCATAACCGCGTCTGTAGAGGCGGCCATTGTCGGCCCTGGAATGCTCTTTATGTATCCTAAGGATATTAAGTGTGAGGATGAAAAGTGAATGTTGACGTTCAAGACGGTAGCGAAGTATGTGGCACAGTATGTACCTCCGTAGCAGTGGGGTCGTCTAGCGTGGCGCTAGCCGTCACGCAGCAGACCCTAGTACCAAATCTTCGAAGGCCTTCGCGTGCCAGCGTTCAGTACATCGGGGACTTTGTTAGTCGTTTGAACACATGTGGTGCATCGCAGTCACAGTAAAGTATATATTCATATCAATTCGTTGTCCCATATCATGGCTGCATACTACCGAGGGGAACCCCACACTTTCGTAAATGCTCAATACGCCTGCAATGCCCAAATAGATACACGCCCAGTCCATAAATCTCTACATATTTCATACGCTCAAGGCAGAAGGAGCTGTCATCTCTTGTGGTGTGATGCTCACAATCGTTTCTGGCTCGACTTCAGGCACCTTGACGCGCTTGGCCTCAGGCTCGTCATCATCCCGTTCCTTGCGCTTCTCCTTCCGCTCGACAGCATCGCTCTCTGGATTTGCTGCTTCCTTGACCCGAGCGCGCTTAGAAGCGCGAGATTCGTTCTGCGGTATGCCCAGATGCTCGTCAACAACGTTGGCCTGCTTTAGCAAGTCGTCAACATTCTCCAGGCCCAGCGCCTTGATGCAATCCGTGTAGCACTTTGACTTGTTCATCGCCTGATACGCTTTCTCCTTCCCTGGTATCATCTGACTGAGCAGATACTTTGTGTTCCCCCACCGGTTCTCTACCTGTAGCGCGAAACGCATGTATTCGGTAACGACGGTCTTCCACTGCGATTTCCACTCGTGTGGCCCGCCTTCTGCGTCGGGTCGGAACACGCTGGGGTTCTTCTCGGCTGCGGTTGCGATCATTGCGCCGTCGACGTTGAACTCTTCCGCGAGTTTGAGGGCTTCGGTGCGCGATGTGACGTCGCCGTTCATCAGGCATGCGACGCCTGCTTCGTGGCATATCTCTCCGATCATCTTGAGTTGGTCTCGAATCGCGCGCTCTCTGGGTCGCATGGGTGTGGTTCGACAGTGCACTGTGAGACCCGTAATGCCGGTGCGCACTAGTCTCTTGACCAATGCTGCTGTCTCTTCTGGCGTGTCCAGAATTCGGATCTTGACGCTAATGCCAATCTCGAATGGCTTTCCCACTTCTTCCACGAGGCTTGTTAGAATTCTGCAAAGCAAGTCTGGTGTCTTGAGCAACGCTGCGCCCATGCCGCCTGAAGTCGAGAATGGCTTGGGGCAGCCAGAATTGACATCAATGCCTGCAACATCCGCTGCGACCATCTTGGCTGCCTGGACTGCCAGCTCCGGATTCGCCGTGCCGATCTGATATATGAGCTTTCCCTTCTCCAGCTCCGGATGTATGCGGTACAAAACGCTTTCGCGATTCTCGGGATCGAGGGTGGGGTTTTTGATCTTCGAAGTCGGCAGGCGCGAGAACTCTAGTGTATTGGTGTGCGGGTTCAGTCGCTTCGTGGTGCCAATCATGGCGCGATCGATGGTTTCGGGTCCCCAGACCAGGTCGGCGCCGTACTTCAGCGCGAGGAGGCGTGAGGGCAGTTCGCCAGAGCGCACCATGGGCGCAAGCACCACTTTGCCACGGTAGTCGACGCCATTCTTGGGGATGGGAACGCGGGCGGGCTCGTTGGATGCCATGGCTCGTGTTATCGATCGTGATAGGGTTCGAAGCATAACATGCCTTCACAGGAAGAGGGCGGAGGATTGGGATGTGAGTGGGGAGGGAGATCGTAGCGCGATTCTGAAAGTTCAGTGCACGTGCCTTCGTGGGTGGGGTTAGCGCGGGGGCGTCACTGCAGGTACCATTTGGCAGACACCTGGGCATACAATCACCTCTCCTACCAACGCTTCGCTACTGATATCACCTTCCGGGCTAGATACTAAGCATTGACATCTGGGTTTTCCAGGCCCTAAGAACTGCCACACGAGTTCTGACCGTTTAGATATTCTTTCCGGCAATGGAGCATCAAAGCTTTGATCACTTGAATCATCCTTGATCTAGCTATACAAATATGAAGTCTCTTCCTTCTACATTCCTCTCTCCCATCCTCCTACTAAATTCTTCATCAGATTCTCCGAGTGTTCCCTTCGTGTCTTCCTCCTCATCATCTTCATCTTCCGTGTCTTCATCATCTATGTCCTTTCTATACGTTATAAAGTCCAATCTTGGACGGCTCCGCGGCTCGTCCTCGTACACAGTTTCAGGCAGATATGCCTCCCCCACAAACTTCCATGTCTCTGGTTCATTGTTCCCGACAGCAGTATTCTTTCTGATGACGTGTAGTATCGGCGCTCCATTTAGTGCGACTAGCACGTCACCTGGTCTTACACCCTGCGTCGTTGAGCTGAAATGGCCTTCTTTGGTTTCAAAGAACTGCTTTTGAGAGACCGCACACATGGCCGCCAAGAATTTGTACGCATTTTCATGTCGGTGTGCTGTACTGGAAACCTGTTCGGAGTCCTCCAGGAGACTGTGAGAAAGCGCACCTGTAATGGTTGTGTTGTTTCTGCAGAGCATGAAAATATCGACTGATATTAGGAGGGATGGCCTACCTTTGGATGATTGTACCAGTAGTAGTAGTACTCCTCAGCTGTTGTCCCAACGCCCGAAAGTCAAGATACCAATCTTGCGTTATCGTCTCGTATCGATAACACTCTTGTTGATCGATCAGCATACGCCAGTATTCTTCGAGGATGTCTTTGTCTCTGACTCCTACTCGTGGCCATTTCTCACCACTTGAACATGTGCGCCCCAGCGTATCATGAGCAAGCGTCTCTTCCCACATAGCGGTACTTATTAGGTAATCACTCTCTTCAGACCCAGGCTCATATGACAGATGTAGTGTCGGGCTAGGAGAAGGCATCATCGGAAACACCCTCACGACATCATCGAGTACCTGCCCGGTCAACACCAGCTGCTCTAGTCTCGAGCCGCCTAGCAACCGGTGGTATCGCTTCATACGTGCGTACCGAGACGTTCTTCTGTGGCTGGCGTCCATATGTAGATGCAAACGCTCGCAGTCAAGGAAATCTGGTACCCAAGACGGTAGATGCTTTCGCTCATCAATTCTGAATGTCCAGCTGAACCATCCCCATAGGAAACTGCTTCCCTGCTTCCAAGCTGTCTCCAGTATGAATTTGGTAAATCGAGTGAATAAGTCTTCCACCGAGACATAAGCGATGTTTGGATCGAGATAGGTATCTTTTAGATATTTCCGATCAATCAACCCTAACAACCCCAGAATGCGATCCTCAGGTCTGAGGTACTGTTGTTGTTGGGTAATCAACATGGCGAATGCCAGAACGTTGGCCTGATAGCTGTCTGCAGCAGGCCCTTTCCAGTTCCAAGCCGTATTCACCGTAGTTCGTAGATAGAACACCGTTCCATCTTGTCGTGATGATCTCGTTTCAACGCATGTAAATCCATCGGATAGATGTAAGAGATGCTCATATGTGGGAAGATCATCCTGGAGGGCCCAAAGGAGCCGTCCGTCTTTGATAGACGTCCTCATAAGTGTCCAGCTTAGCTTGCTGTCCCCGCAAAGAAAACTTATCTTTCGCGCCAAAGTCGCCTCTTGTACAATCCAAAGCCTTCCAAACCAGGCATTGAGGACGATATGATGGAGTGCGGCTTTCAATGAAACATCCAAGGTGTCGAAGTTTCTCTGTACGAGTTCATCGACATATTTTCCCGGTTTGCCGTGCCTTTCATCAGAGACACGTCGAAGAAAGTGAATGGCTTCGGGAATGTGTTCTTGATGCGCTGTAGTTCCGAGCCATACCCAGATCTTCTTCGCTTGCTTATAGACGCGATTCATCTCCCGAATCTGCACCATCTTCTCCTCACGATCTGCCTGGTTGATACAGATGGCGTCGATCCAAATCGGCCGCACTGGCCTAGCATCGCCACGGCGAGCAAGGTACGGTAATGCAGTGTATAGATTGCGATGCACTGGCGCAGCGCAGCCATTCAAGATAATATTGAGACACTCCAACATAGAGCCCCACACATAAGATAGCGCATCGAATTCCAAGTCGGGTCGGTCGAGAGCAACCGTTTGCAACTCCCAGGTGTAGCCATCGGCGGCTTCGCTGGAGACGGGAGTGAGCAGGCGAATAGAGCCTGCGGGCAACGGATCGTAAGCGAAAGGCGGAGGTTCTGTCATGCTAGATACAGGAAAAGAAAGGTGGAGCGTCGTGTTGGAAACTGGGCATCTGAAGTGCGGGGTGCGACTTCCACATCCTGGGGAAAGTGGCACAGTCAACAACCATGTTGACTAAGCTCGCGCATTGTTTGCATAGATATTTGATTCGCTCAATGGTAGTATCTACGACACCCAGATTGCCCCTAGCATATCAATTAAGAAAGAAACTGAACAGGCCTGCAGCCTACATCAACATGAAAGTATACAAGATATGTAAGCTGGCGGTAATGTAGGCTCTAGACCTGTTCATCTTTTTTCTTGCCGGTAAGTTCGTCCTCTGCCCAACGTCTGGCGAGCGCATCCATATGCCCTGGTGGGTCGACAACAACAGTCTTTGCGGCGCCATAGAACAGTGCTTTCGGAACGTCTGTGATGAGCACAACCTCGTGCGGGCCGTCGCCATAACTATCAGTAATCTCCAAGCGCTCGAGATTGAGATTTCGACAAAGCTCAAATATCGACTTGTATTTGTCGATGTACATGTCCACGAACGTCATTTGGCGAAGTGTTTCTTTAAACAGCGCGATGAAATTGATTAGCCTCGCGTGGTGGTCGACTTTGGTGTCTCTGAATACGAGGTTCGCCACAGTGGGTACGTCGATGCCTGATGGAAGCGGTCTGCCGCCGAGGGTACTTTGGTGAAAGGAGCCATCCAGAACGAGCGTACGTAATGCTGGAAATGTGTCTCTGGTGATGACTACGGTCGACAATGCTTGGGGTGGATTTTGTGGAGATCCACCCTCGGCAAACTCATCTCGGAGAATCAGGACCTCGACTTCGCTCGAGACCTTTTTGATGACTTGTATCGTAGCTTGTATTGTGAAGCAATGTAATCCGTTCATCTCCGTAACGAGTTCGAGTCTCTTGGGAAGAACGATAGATTGCGCTAGGGCGCTGAGGAGGAGGTCTTGACCTATCTGAATGTCTGAGTGCTCATATATGTACCAAAATATGTCGACGTCCTTGATGATTGCCATTTCTCGAAAGACTTCGGTGAATCTGCCCGCGACTCTCCTGGCGCAGTAATGGATGTTGACAATATTCGGCAAAGCTTCCAGACACGATAGAATGAGTTGCCAAAGTTGACTGCTCCTAACAGCATCCTGGAGTGTACGTGCAGTACTGCTGTGATAGTCATCGGAAGACAACCATAGCTCCGGGTACCAATCGAGCTCGCTCTTGATGATAGCCTGAGTCCTATTCAAAAGACCAGCTTCGAATACGTCTTCGTGCTTATAAACTCCACCAGTTTCCACGTTGCCAACCTCTGGCAGGAGGTGCTCGGTGTAGCGAGAAGTGACGGTCAGTGTTCGAGCCCACGGGGTCAACTCCTTGCAATTCGTTAAGGCCACGAAGTTTTTCATGCTCTGCTCTGAGCATAAGTCGAAGGTGGTCTCGTCGATTACTTTTGCAAGAGCGCGCCATGCGTGGTTGTAAATGGTGCGGCTCACGTATCTAAGCGTGAGGAGTTTGGAAGCGCGGGATCGCCCGCTGAGGGTTTCTTGCATACATCGTCTGTTGAGAGATACCGTTGTTTCCGTCAGTGCGGGTTGCACTCCGCGTACCGCTTCGAGCAGGATCCTTTCGAGGAGTTCAGCAGGTAGTGACTCCAGCCGGCTCGTTGCCTCTGCGTAGCGAGGAGTCGACATGGTCGCGGCCATTGAAGCTGGTGTCAGTTGCGAGGTCATGTAGCTGTCAGGGCGGGAGGTGAGCTTATTGAGTGCGCTGGGTGTCGAGTGTAGCTCGACTGTCGAGATCGCGCGCCTGAGGGAGGCGGCTACGTCAGGTGTGACCGTGCGCCTCCGCGGTGGAAGGAGCACCTCGTCGCACAACGGACTCACCAATATTACACGTAGAGTTAACACATCATTCATCTTGCTGAGACTCGATTGTTGATCAATTACAACTCTACAACTTCGCCTTGACAGCCTCAGGATCTGCGACCTGTACCATGATTTTGCCTGCAGTTGTTAGTGACGTTGACTCTTTCAATGGTTATTGGACAGGCGTACCAGTGTTCTTTCCCTCGAACAGTCCCACTAGCGCGTCCTCGGCCTTGTTGATGCCTCCTTGGATGATTGTCTCTTTCCTTTTGAGTTTGCCCTCTGAGAGCCACTGAGCGAGCTGCTTCCTGGCCTCGGCGTACTTGTCCGCGAAGTCAAAGACGACGAAACCTTGCATACGAATGCGCATTGAGATGATCATCATGTAGTTCTGAGCTCAGTTAGCTGGGCGCATTACAACAACTTGAGATGTTTGACATACCTTTGGCCCTTGAGGTTTCTTCTTGTTGTACTCGGAGATGGCACCGCACATGACGAAGCGCGCGAAAGGCTTCGCTCGGGAGAGCGCAAGGTCAAGGATCTCTCCGCCTACATTGTCGAAGTACACATCGATTAGACCCTTGGTTGCAGCCCTGAACTTCTTTGCAAACTCCGGGTCCTTGTAGTTCAGCGCCTCGTCAAAGCCGAGTTCCTCCTTCAACCATGACACTTTGCTGTCCTCACCAGCGAGACCCAAAACCTTGGCGCCCTTCAGCTTCGCGATTTGACCGACCACACTTCCAGTAGCGCCAGCTGCACCGCTGACGACTACAAAGTCTCCAGCTTTGACCTGGCCGATTTCTAGGAGTCCAAAGTAGGCGGTAAGGCCGGTCATTCCCAATACGCCCAGCGCATCGGTAGGTACAGCCCCCTCCGGCAGATCCAACGACTCAACATGCTTCTCATTCAGCACCGAGTACTCTGACCATCCGCACATACCAGTCGCGTAGGTACCGACGGGGAACTTCTTGCTCTTACTCGCGACGATAAGGCCAATACCGCTACCACGCATGACGGCACCAATCTCGACCGGGGGAATGTAAGAACGCGTTGGGTTCAGCCAGCCGCGCATCGCCGGGTCAAGTGATAGGTAGAGTGTCTGGAAAAGTACTTCGCCATCTTTTAGTGACGATGCCGATGGAACTTCTTGCTGCTTTGGTGTGAAGGTTTTGCCGGCGACAACAGCGTCCACTGGCCGTTCGGCAAGGTGGATCGATGTATACGAAGGCATGATGATGGAGTTGATGAATTGATGGCACGCTTCGGAATGCTTTGGCCGACTTTCGCGGTAGTGATTTGGGGAACGAGACGAGAAAGTAAGGTTCTTTTGAATGGAGATGGATGGTATAGGAAGTCAAAAGTAAAGACAGCTCGGTCGCGTTTGTAGTTCGTGTCCGCACAGATCCTCCACAGGTGTTCTGCGGAGAAGATACCGAGGCTCGGGTGGTCGTTTCCCGATTAGGACCGCTACATAATCCAAGGGCCGAACAAAGGAATCTCAACGGCCGTAAGAGTTACTAATCTTCAGTACGCAACGACCGATTGCGTGTGTGTTCAGAGCTGACAATGTCAGACTTCCAGGTATATCTCGAGATGCGCCATAATTTAGGTAGAACTCCACTAGAGTGTCGATGGCCTGCTCCCATTGGCGCAAGTTCACGTCAACGCGTGCATGAACTGGTCACCTTCTCAATATGATGATAAGTTGCGGAACAGAGCTATAGACCATTCCCTACGCGTGAAACGATTTCATGGAGATGTGACTTGCAGATGCGATGATTGTTAAGTTCGTGAGCAAGCGACCGCGAATGCCAAGCCACTACGAGCGTCTGACTAAGCGAATCTCGAGCTCAGCATCATCGCGAAACCCTGCGGTACCAACGACCGCAAGCAACCTCACGATGCAGTCACTACGCAGAACAGCAGTGGCTGCTGCCCGGACGAGCCGCACCTCACTTCCGCGCCAGTCGCGCCGCTTCGCACACGATGAGCACGCTCACGGCCACCCGACCCCAGCCGCCGACGAGCCCATGGGTGTATGTCAACCGCCCTTTACCCCTCCCAGAGGGTCCTGGAATTCTCTCGAATTATCGCAGCACTACACGAAGAATATTGCTGACTCAATTGGCATGTAGTATGGCTTCTTCATGACCATTGGCGTCATCCCCGTTGGAATCGCCGTATACGCCTTGTCGCGACCGGACGGCGAGAACAACGAGCCCTACATTACCCGCATGATCTCCAATGCGACGGCTGGACTACACGAGAAGTGGACTTCGCAGAACGACCACCACGTGCGCATGATCGAGCAGGCGGGTGAGGACAGGGTGCTGTTCGCGAACACACGGCCTCAGGAATACGTCGACATGAAGTTCCCAGAGTACGTATACCCACAATGCGGCACGCAGACCTACAGGAGGAGGAACTATGACTTGGGGTGAAGGCGAATTAGCACACATGGATGGGGGATTGATATGGAAGTGCGAGGCTAACGAATACAGGATCATGAACGTCGGATCGCCATACAACGTCCCCGCCGGAAGCCAAGTGCAAATGGACAAGGTTATCGAGAAGTACAAGAAGCTGGCGTACGAGGACAATGAGCGCAAGCTGGAGAAGTTGAGGAATAACGACATCTCGTCCGAGACGCCCGTGACAGGCCCAAAGACTCGCGTCAAGAAGGCGCCCGACATGTTCTAGATAGAGATGAATTTGGCTCGCTAGATGTACATACTCAGGGAATGATATCCGTTTCATTTGTAGTGTCTGTTACTGTGCTTTGACAGTCGGTCTTTGGTATTCAGTGTCGTATTGCTATTCCACCATTGTTTCCTGGCCGCCCTATTTTATTTTCAGACAGCCTACCTTCGGTCTATACGGTGGAAAGGCACACGATCGACCAAGAAACTGACTTGTCCATGACCACATCAAGCCCCAATCTACGGAAACATGTTTCAAGGGCTATTCATAGTGACAGTACCAGGTCCATCTGGAGGGTGGCGGCCGTTGTTAACAGTGAAAATCATGTCCAACCATGTTACACAGTGACTCCCAGCACAGTCATGCTGGGGGCGGTGAGCCTCAGCCACGTTGGTAGTGCGATGTGGGGTATACTGCCTGCGATATTATTGTGAAGGAGGGAGCAGGCAGACTTGCGGGATACAGTAGGCTCAAAATCTTAGTACATGGGCATCATTGTGATGGCTGTTGGCTTCCGTGGTGGTAATTCGGTGCGAAAGCATCGAATCTTGGAGTACCAAGGACTCCCCAGCATACTCGTAAGCATCGCAATGTCCCGGCACGAACGCGTTCATGCTGACGAGCCTAGCAGTCTTACGGTGTTTCGTGCGGGAAACGCACACGTCACGTTTCGTAGGGCAGTTGCTAGGGTTCCGCCCCACTTGACAGCGGGTTCCTGAACGGGGATCATCGCTGATTGGCGAACCGCTACACCAGCATTACCAGACCACGATGAATCCAAGGTGAAGTGAAGGGGAGGTTTGTAGGCGCTTCAAATGGCTAGACTAGTGTTCACTGCAAAATGCATTGCTTTTGACTTGGCTGCTCCTGTTGCTCGTCGAACCACGACATTTTGGAACCTCATCCGCCCAACCTCGCCGCCTGCCAAATACCAACGAGTGAAGAACATTAGAGGTTACTAACGTTTTTTGAAGATCCGCCGGAGCACGACAAGACCATCAGCAAGGTATGAGTCCCCCTCAACCCAGTCATCTGTTGGTGGTGCGCAATCTCCGCTAGATTGCTGCAGTTGCATTCTTTTTCGTGCCTTTTCGTAGGCAATTGCTGAGCAGCAGCACTGGATCTTGGATCTTGGTCGACGGCTCTCGAAAAACCAAAACTAATCCAGAGACAGATGTCCAGTCCTGCCGCATTGCGCACTCGAAGCATGCCGCTCCTTCCCTTTCGCAGAAGGAAGGTAGTCGCGGCCGCTACGGCTCCAGGTAAGTTAGCGCTAGGGTGGACCCCTGGCGTGCCCAAACACAGCGCATCACCCATCGTCCTGATTGACGCGCCGCATAAACATCTTTCCTGTCCGCGCTGCGCTGCACAATTGCATTGTTTGGCCCCCCGATGCCGCTTCCTGAAACGCGCCTTCACAACGTTGGATGCTAACCCTCTCAAGACTCGGCCCCATTGCTCCCCGAACTCAACTTCACCGCCCGCAAGAGGAATGACATGAACGGGTCAGCTTGGACCACCGACGACACTTCTCGCACTGCGAACGCCGCACCAGCACGCACGACCTCGACCACCACCATGCCCTCGTACACATCGCCCCGCAACGTCTCAGGCCCGCTAGCTGTCGACAAAGCCGCCATGGCTGCCGCCGCCGATGAGAACAGCCCGTGGGCCCGCCCCAACCACTACAGCACCCCCAACTCAAAGACGTCACAGTATATTGATAAGATCACACAAGAGAACGACCGCCTGCGACGAGAACTCAGGGCCGAGAAGCTCGCAAGAGAAGATGAGGCCAAGCGTTGGTCGGCTGCGCAAACCAAAGCCGAAGACTCCCGCGCCGAGCACCAACATCTCCAAGTGCTTGCCGACACCAATGCGCGAGCCATAGAGCGGAAAGACCGGAAGCTCGAAGAACTCAAGGCCACACTCGACGCCGAAATACAAAGAAGGAAGTCCGCCGAACAGCGAGCCGAAGAAGCGCTGCGGATGCTGGGCGACACACGATCCGAGACGCAACGACAGCTTTCGCAAGCATACGAGATGAGGGGCATGGCAGACACGAACCTCGAAACAGCACGAGACGGCTTCAAGCGCATCACCGACGGCTACGAGAAGAAGGTCCGCCAAATCAACGACGAGCTCAACGAGCTACGGAGAAAGCGCCTCGAAGACGCCGACAAGATCAAGCGACAAGCCATCATCAGCGACCAGCTGCAACACGAATCTTCGCGATCCACACGGGCCGAGGCTAAGCTGGTCAATCTGATGGAGGTATACAAAAAAGAGCACCGGAAAGAGATGGATGGTCTCATACAGGAAGCAGAGAGGCTGCGACGCGCACTGCCAGAGAAGGAGCGCGAGGCACAGAAACTTGTCGATTCGTTGGAACAAACCCGCGATAAGATGCGATGGGTCATGACTCAACATGAACGGCAAACTGGGGGGAAATGAACACCTCATCGCGTACTCCACAGGTCACCCAACAACCCGGTAAAGGGGGCATCGAGCGAGACGCGATATAGGACCGAGCCAGCATGCGCACCAAGCACGATCCGGCCTCTGCGGTCCCACACAATACGACTATAATGACCAAGCTTTGTTTCCTGGGCTAAATGGCAATCTGTAATATATTTGGATATGGCGTTGAGGTTTGGCATACATCACCACATATGCTGGGATGAATAGGCGTTTATTGGGGATCGTAGTCAGGCTTGACATTCTGACATTGCACGCGCCGGACACTGTTCGGCTGTTTTCCGATCCAGCTATCTCACTTAATTCATCCGTGTATTTGCATGTCACACAGTGCTAATCAGTCATACTTCCATCTCTATTGCTAACATTCAAATCGTGGACTGGTCACTTCAACAGGCTGCGATCGATTTTGCTGTGGCCGCAGTTGCGTCAGCCGCTGCTGATTCATTGGCGCTCTTTCCCGGACCCTGAGGCGCCAAGCAAAGCTCCATCGGCCCCTTCCACGCTCAGCTTTGTTTACATCACATTCGAAAACGTCGTCATGGCGCGAGATGGCGCCATCACGTCAATCCCAAAGGAACTCAGAGTATCGTGGGTGCGCTTCAATTTTTACGGACTCTCACAATTGTCGGTGACCTGCACTTCACGAACCGCTCTTTCACTCTGCACTATCCACTGAGGACATGACGGTAAGAGTAGCCACATCCAGAACAGGCACCCACTGATCACCAAGTTGACACACATAGATTGAGCTCGAGTCTACCGCTCACACCAGCACTAAGCCACATGGAACCGTCTGAGTTGATTACAGATCCACCAATCCAAGTACAAGTACAACGTTACTGGACAACAATTGAAAATGCAGACAAACAACCCCCAAACGCAAGATGCGGAAGTCACTCTAAGCGCGCCATGACGACCGCCGGAAAGTACGCGAAGGCTCAAGTTCGGAAGTTACGTTCGTCCTGCACGGTGATCAGTCAATGTCACAGCGTCGCCTCAGTGTATACTCACTGTGATGTAGCATCCGTCTAGTTAACGGGAGTACCGCACTGAATGCAGCATTTTCCAGGGATAACCCAGACCGTGTCTCCACGCTCGAGACAGGCAGGGCAGCGACGACCGGGTACCTATAACGATCAGTGGACGCCCAGGACGATGATGCTTCTTTACTCACCGGCATAGTGACGATGCCTTCAGCGTCATTCATACAAGGAATGGCTACTCTGTCGATGGGCGTGTTCATCCACATGACGCTTCTGGGTAGGTGTCGGTGTTGGAGTTGCATCTTGGAAGACATGGCTGAAGCGAATGACAGTGATGATCTAGAAGAGAGAGGCGAGCAAAATACGACTTGAGTATTGAAGGAATGTGGAGCGACACTAAAGAATCAAGGTGAACAGAGCGAGTACCTCTCATCTAGGCCAGAGACGCGTCTTTATACATTCTCAGCTTCCCGAACGGCTTCGGTGCACCAGGATTCTCTATCGCTAGCGTAACCCTTGTGCTTCGCAGTGCGCTTGTAGTGCCATCGGTCTGCAGTTTTCCGAATTCAAGGAGACGACTCTCTCCTGTGCCTCTGACCTGCACGATGTGCATGGTGCGTTGTACACCTCCAACGAGAGCAGATCAGAAAATGCCTGCGCCATGTCTATCCACCTGCCTGGGAGCATATGGAAAGGTACATGTCAACCAGTATCCCGGGGACGCTAAACTTCCAGATCGTCTACCTAACCGCAAGTCGCTCTAGAGGCTGTCAACGGCTGTATACACTGGTGCCACAAAGATTTGGACTGCGGAACCAATACCGGTACGCAAGGAGCTCAGCTGCATATCGTAATGGATCAATTTGACGCTGACGACGAAAAGATACGTTCCGCACGTGTCCTTCACCAATATGCGATGAAACAGTACTGCTTCCATCACACCAAGTCGGAATCGCCAAGCCAACTTGAGATCATTCGATCAGAACTCAATGGCACCACTATGGTTTGCTACCCTATCTTTGCTAGATAGTGTACGTGCGTGTCACGGCACCGTCAGTTTCGCTGAGCCTCGTCGCTTTTTCATTTTGTCAAGTTCGGCGCTAACGAAGCCACGATTATCTACAAGCCCTGCAACATGCAGCCGCAAGCAAACTTACGCCCTATCCCCGCCCTTCTGCACAGTCTAGGCTCGCGATGCTTTTGCAGCCTTGCATGAGCCAAACCGTTTGGCGATACATCCCGCGACCCGCCGCCCGTTTGGACTGCGATCGCCGTTTCGCTTCTTAGCTCATACCGATAGCCGTCCTTCCGTGGTATGACCATCTACAACTGTCGTACGTTCACAGCGGATGTCAATTCGAGCTGTCCAATCTCAAGCATCTGAAAGATGTAGGCAAGCTACGAGATCGCGATCTGAGATAACGGCTTGTCGTTTGTACTACACAATCCTTCGAACCCCGGTCCCTATCTTCCTCAGATTGAGGGTGCGTTCCAAGCTCTTGTGTGCGGTGCAATATAGTCACGAGTCAAACTTTCGATCGACCAATCATGACAACCCTGCTGACATCGCTAAGCTTCCTCTACTTGTGGATCATCACTTGGTCTGTTGTCGATGGGACTAACACGTCTGACTCAAGCACTACTACACCTGAGGTATACTTCTCGATGAAGCACCGGTGTTATAACCAGCGAAACGCAGCAGTTTCCTTCGCCTCTTACCCAGGCTTTTCTCATGCCAATCCTTCGGATATTGGAAGGGTGTCGGCAACAGTGCCTTTGCTAAGCTCTTTGTCCTCGCGCCCACGTTTCCGACTCAGACCCTGATGAACTGCTTTGAAAGCCGTGGCACAGCGCTCAGTCCGATCTCGGCTGCATGCTTTGCGCCGCAGCTGAAACGGAGTAGGCATTCTCTGTCTCGTTTCTTCGTGCAGGACCCGTGGCTAAACGTTCTCTCCCGACAGCGACTCTTTACTCCCGAACACTACACCGCTCCTTCACGTACCGATGCTTGGCATCGCTGGTCAAACCCTTTCGGCAACAGGTAGACAGTACGAATTCGAAACCCAGTTGCTTCAACCAACGGTACAAATTACGGGCGTTGGAAATGCTACGTCATTATTGTCGACCCGACAACTCACACGAAGATGCGAGGGTATTATCCACCATTGATCTGGCGCTAATCTGTGTACTGCATCCCCTAGACTAAGGGGCCGTTCCGTCCGCTTACCGTGTCGAATAAACCCGCGTGGTAACAATGGCACTGTCATGCTTCTTTCAGCAAGTGAGCTATCGGGCAGAATTACTCATTCATGGTCATGCGATAGCTGTATTCATCAAAGCTACCACGAATTGGGATTAACCAGGGTACACCATTGTGAAGACTTGCCCGGATCCAGACATACTGTTACCTCCGGGAAAATGAACCATATGGTGCTAAGTACCCACTAAGACTGTCGAAGCACGTTCGATAGTCCCCAGCGATTTTCCTCTCTAGTCATACACCGGGCTCGAGAGATCGCCTCCGCAGAATTAGTCTTTGGTCAAACGCTGAGAGTAAGAGTATCTCGCAGCATGCCGGGTCTGATCCGTGAGGCCCACCCGTCACTCTCATCACCGAGCGATAGCTGTCAGTCGCTTCACTTCGCGAGCTAGCTACTCACATCATACTTCGCCGCTCGGTGCTCACTTTTGATCTGGTGCACGCGCTACACCGATGAATTCAGAGAAGTTCCCAACCTAACTAAGGCTCTTGTAGCATCCGCTCGGCACGGCTTGCTCGTATCCAGCTCATCACCACAGGTTGAATCACGTCTGAACTGGGCATTCCATACACCACCGATGAGCAGCCGACGATGGCTACAAATGGAGCCATCTGCAAAGCCCATGACCTCCGTTCCCGTCGATCGGCAACATTGAATATGTTCCAGCACCAGTATCCACGACTGGCCAAATGCATCCGCGTCCCGCTCAAACAACCAACAAGGTACCTTTTGCATGGTGCAAGACACCCAAGAGGTACAGCCTCAACGCCACGCGGAGTGAGTTTCAACATCTTCGTCACACAGCATCGGCCGAGGTACGTACCGCCAGCAAATTCTGATTACTCCCCTCATTTCTTATCACTAGCCATCCGATTACACCCGCGCAACAGGTCTGCGGCACTTGATTCGGACCTAGTTGCATCGTGGGACAACGTTGCCTTGTAACCATCGTGAGAAATGACATCGCACCAATATCACAGTATCTTCGTCAAGGACTCGACTCAACCACGCCAGGCTCGACGCCAACCTGCAAGGGGAAATTTGTAGTGCAGCGACACACCGAGCTGGTGGGTGTAGCGACACACCCGGAAGATGGTCCCTAGCCAGACAACATGCACGGTAGCGCCACAGAGCCGCATAAGGTCGGAAAGGTGGCCGTTGGTGATCATCAGCCTTGCCCTCCGATTACAGTCACACTGCAGGCGTCGCTTTTGTCTGCCTCGAGGAAATGTGTCCAGGCAACTGCCGTGTCAACAGTCGCAGTGTCGTACAAACCGCGGCTGTCGCTCGGGTGATGCTGCCGCGTGGGACGAGGTGATGTCAACACTTTCAGCTAAGTCTTCGTGCTTGCTGGTGCGAATTGATCCTGTGTTCCTCGAGCCGGTAATCCTCCCTGACCCATTCCGCGAAGCTGATAGGCGTTGGTTTCTGCGCGCATTTGCTGACACTTGTGCGAACACTATACCCCGAAACTGCCGACATCTGCTCATCAAAGGCTGGATGGAACGAGACTGAATCTTGTTACACGCCATGCGTGTGTTTTCGTAAGAGATTTAGGATACATGTTGTTCTTATGATGTATAAATGCATAGCAAATCGAGTGGGTACCGCGCAGTGTATCACCCACACACACACCCGAGATAACATACAATGTACTCCAAGACGGAGCATCGGTCACCGTCATAACGACGCAAGCCTCCTCCTCAGCCCAAGCTTATGCTTCTCACCCCACAACTTATGAACAAAATGCTGAGGCCGCGACAAACTCTCATGATCAAACTGGTTCCCACGCTGCACCCGCGCGCCTCTCGGCAACAACTAAAGCACAGCATTAGCCACAACACCACACTCCACAAAGTGTGCACCAGCTCCAAGGAAACAAGAAGATAGGTCGGTAAGTAGTAGCGGTCAGGAATAACAGATATAGTTGATTCAAGCCGTACTGACCGTCTTCGTGATGCGGACCAATAGCACGCCCTTGGTGATGACGCCGTTTGAGTCGTAGAGATGCAGCATGCGGAGGCCAGTCTGCAGGCGGTCGAGGCGGAAGCATGCCCAACCGGCTAGGTCATCCTTGCCGAAGCGCTCTTTGTCTATGACTTTGAATCTGAGAGGAAGAGGTCAGCATGGACATTGACAGTCAACGAATGAGATAGCGAGCAATGGCGTGTCGTGGGGAAGCATCGCGCTCACGGCGAATTGCGTATAGCAAAGCTATTCTCGCTGCAAATTGAAGCGGTTACGAGACGGCCGATGGACGGAACAAAGCTATTCTCGCTGCAAATTGAAGCGGTTACGAGACGGCCGATGGACGGAAGCCACAGCAGTATACCGCCTTGGTACTGCAGCTGCCCCATAGCTCGACGCTGAATACCGATTCTTTGGATCAGACGCAGAGTCATGCGGTGTCATCGAAGAAACGACGAGGCGCTGGCGCTAGAACGGCGTGAACGGGAATAACGGCGATCTACAGGTGCAGTGATCCCGACCCTCATTCAACAGCCGTGCCACGACTGCTCACTCGGAATCTCTCTTTCAACGCTCGCCATACAACGTAACGGCGCGTATGCAGCGAAATGATGCAATGTCACCCGACCGGACCCCATGACCCCCATTCTACCACCTCTCTTGGAAGAGCGGCAGAAGCATCCGTGGGTGGGTGAGAGGCTGATGCTTGAGGCTCTCATGGCGACCTGCATGTGCCTGACACGTAGCGAAAGAAAAGAGATAAGACTCACCTGACAAATGTCAATTCTTCCGTAACACCAGGAACATTGACGAACTTGACCATTTCACCACCGAAGTCGGGGTTCGTGGTCCTTGCCTTCTCGGTCTCCTTCTTCAGGTCGGGGTCGATGGTCTTGGTGCCTTTTCCATCACCGGGCACATGTTCAGAGTTGCGCTCTTCGTGCGACTCAACATGCAGCTCGACCTTGACATAAGGCTTGAGATCCTTTGGATCGTCTTCGTCGGGCGGCAGAGGAATGTCTTGTCCTGCGAAGAACTCGATGCTTAGGTTGAGGTCGTGATGAGTTATCGCGGTCTTCTGTGTCGCTGCTTCGCTCGTGCTGCGGTAGCCTTCTGGTTTGAGAACCCATCCGGCGGTACCTGCGAACATGGCTTCGTTTTGCATCATACCGCCGTCCCAGCGTTGCCAGTTCAGCGCTACTATCTGCACACCCGCACGCCAGAAGACGGAAGGGTTCAAGTTTGTTGATGTCAACCGCGTGCCTTTGGGGTATGCGCGCATGAAGAAACGTTTGTTGTGTTCGAAGAGTCGGACGGGGTCGTTCTCGTGAACTTCCATCAGTGTACCTTCGGACAAAGAGAATACGTGGGTGGGAACCTTCGCTTCTGGAGCATCGAGAGTTTTGTACGAGTATCCTCCTAAGTAAACACCCAATCGTGATAGCGCTTCAATAACCTTGGGTTTCGGCGCTGGAGGGTTGTTCTCGCCATCTGGTCCGGCTTCTTTAGAGTCGTCCGAAGCCGCAGACTCGGTACTCATGGTATGTTGTAGCTGGGGCGCTGCCGCTGGCGCGGCAAGCGTTGTAGGTTGTGGTTCAGCCGCAACTGGCTTCAGGTGTCCACGCTTGACTTTCACCAAGATCTTGTTGTGCAGCTCCTTCAGTGTGGGTAGTTGGGCTTCGAGCAGACCCTGCGCTGGATCGAGAGGTAACTCAAGTAGCATGCCTTTCCAATACTCGTTCATGATCTCGACCATGATCTCCTGTTGCTCTGGACCAGCGTGTACTTCGAGACTGACAATCAGGGGCAGGTTCGACACAGCAAATGCGTAGTCCCTGATGATTACACACACCGCGCGAAACGTCATGTCTTTGGTCAAAGTGTAACCGTGGGTTACCTTGGGCTCGGCTCTCGATGTATAGGAAGCGGAATGCCAGGGCTGAACCTTGTTGGCGTCCTCGTGAGGAGGCTCTGATGCCTCTTGTTCTTCCTCCTCGGATTTGTCCTTGCTCCCAAACTTCTGGGCAAGCCTTTGACGAATGCTTAGACCGGACTTTGATTTCTTCTTGTCTTTTCTCGCATCATTTGATCCTGGGTTGCCTCTCGCCATTTCCTCGTCAGAGCTGGAGTCGGAAAGCTCGTCTCCGTCCCAGACATCGACCTCGACGCAGCGACATCCTCGCATCAGGACGTTCTTGTAGGCATCAATGCTGGCGTCGCTTGACAGCTGATTGCCGGTAAGGTATGTGTTGTGGCTCGATGAGATGAAGTAGTTGGAGATGGGATGCGACTCGTCGACTGGTTGCGCAGGCTTCAGGACGCTTGCTGAGCCCGACATGAAGTAGTTGGCGAAGTTGGAGAATGAGCCGTCGGCCAGAAGCTCAGCATTCTGACCTGAGCATTCTTGCTCCTCGACCAGCCACTGCTGTTGCCCTTTCTTTGTCGTCAAGTCGTAGCGCGTTGTGATCTGGTCGTAGACCCTCTTGAGGTGTTGCGTAAGGAGTGGTGATAAGGCATCGACCTTGCGAGCTGCAACAGAGGCGGATGCTGTACCACCGCCTGCTTGAAGTTCGGGGTTGTCGACCTTGGGCGTACCCAGCTTGCTGTCTTTCTTGCTGTCTTTCTTGCTGTCTTTGTCGGGCAACATCTTGTGTTGATGTTACGAGTACAGCGGGATCGAAGGGAGAATAAAGTCAGGAGGGGCGGCGAGAGGGCTTGTAGGCGGCAGCAAAGTGCAGAGTGGCAGCGGTGTATGATCCTGGACGCGTATGCGTGCCTGAGTAATGGCTGAATCCAGGCAGCTCAGCTGGCTCTGAGGTGTCAGTATCTCCTTCCTAATTGCGCAATTGGCTGATGGGCGGGTATAGTTAACATACATGCAATACGCACCAAAGATATGCGCAACTTAGTTTCGCGACTACAAAGCCTTTGTGGAGTGGTAGCGGGATCTAATTGCACATGTGTGAAGGTATGAGGGGTGCGGGCCGCGACGTTGACGCGGGCACAATAGCCTCATGGTCAGCTCGTGCCTGCCTTGGCTTGCCGCACCGGCGTTTGATCATCCAATTGGTGGAGCACGCTCATCGCTAATACCTGCTGGACATTGACACGCAACTTCCGACGTGTGCTGCATGCGCAAGGTGAATGAATGGGGGCTGCCTTGTTTGCGGCGCTGAGTGAAAGGGGTCTAGCTTTGACATGTGCCTCTGCAGCCTCGCCAAGCCCACCGACGTCACTCAGGGTCCAGGCCTAAGATATCATCGTTCGATGAGCACTGACATTCTTAACGCAAATTATATTCACAATGGTCAAGTCACGGAAAGAAGCAGAGAGCGAAGTCCGATCTTGGGGTTTCAACAATGTGTTTACGTGGACCGACAGCCCGTGAGTATACAATCGCTCTACTACATTGGATGTAGACTAACTTCCTCATAGCAATGCGCACTACTCGCCACACAAGCACAGCGGGAAGACGACACATCTTGTACTCAATGGCTCTATAACATACACATACCCTGATGACCCCGACGCGACGAAGGAAACAATAGGTCCCGGCGCTAGATGGGATGTCGATGCGAACAAGGTGCACGAAGTATGGGTAGGGAACCAAGGTTGTACATATGTCATTGGAGAATGAACTATCGGAGCACTGCGAGCATGTCCACTTAGCATCTTAGCCCAAGAACCCATGCTGTCCCAAGTATTTGATGGCATCGAGTGCCAATTGGTCTGCCTTGACCAGCTCTTGCTCGACCATGCGCTCGTACAATCCCTGCAGCTTTGTTTCCTTTGGAGGATGCTGGAATTTGCATTTGCGGAGATACGGGCATTTCCCGTTGCGCTTCCAATTGCTACACACACTCATTTCTTTCTTTTCGGCGACTGGTGCCCGCGGGGGAGGAGGAACCCGGATGACTGGTGGAGCAATCTTTGAAGATGTGGGTTCTGGCGCTTCGTCGCTGTCGTCTGACTCGGGCTCGGACTCCTCTTCCTCTTCTTCGGAACTTGATACCACAGATGACTCTGATAACACTGAACTTTCAGCCTCAGATTCTGTCTCGCTCTCGTATCCTAAACCCAGATCCACCACGCTCGGCGCAGATTGCTTCTTCAACATGCTCTCGTGAAGTTTCTTTCGTAAAGCCGCGAGCTCTTCTTGTCTGCGGTTCTCGGCATCCCGTTTTGCGCCGTCTTCCTTCTTAATCGTGTTTTCCTGCCTCCTTTCGCGGGGCTTCGGTTGCTGAATCTGGTCGTCGACATGGTGCTCTCTCGGGGGCTTGCCGCTGACTCTGCGCAAGAAGTCTATTTCGGCTGCTCGTTTCCTCGCGGCTTCCTCTGCCTTCTCCACGATCCTCTTTTGTGTGGGGAAATTTCTTCTCCTGTCCTTGATCCATGCAGCGACCTCAGCTCCTGTTTGAATGCTGATCATCTCTCCCCCGTGCTCGAACGCGAAGCCTCCGCCTTTGAGCTTCTCCGTATACGCGGCTTCTTCGTCAATGTCCTCTTCATCGCTGCTCTCATCAGGAACTGGCTGCTTCGAGAGCCCTAGATTGACCTTGCGCTTCTTGTTGTCCGGTCGCACCACGGGAGGTGGAGGCAGGGAGAAGCCGAAGCTGGGCACCTGTGGGGGTACGGCGGCCTTGGCCCTCGGTGGCTTCGAACTTGGCTGCGTTTGGTTTCGCTGCTGTTGTGCATTGTTGTTTCGGTCGTCTAGTTTTCTCTTCTGACCGGCGTGTTGAGGCGGCGAATATTGAGGGCTCGGTTGGTACTGATGGGATTGTGGAGACGGGGGGAAGGGGACGTTGCCTGTGCTTGTCATATGGTTGGCGTATGCTGCCATCGACTGTACACCGGCCGGTGTCGACATGTATGACATGACCTGGGCGAGAGCGTTGGGGTCGTATTGCTGCTGTGTCGCGCCATATGTTTGAGCGGTGCCGGCGAAGGACGTATTGTTGTAGGCATTCGGGGAGGCGCTGTTGGGCGGCGCATTCGTCTGATGTTGTCCGTTGCCGGCATTGTAACCTCCCCTGTTATTTGCGCCGCCTCTGTTGTTCTGATAGCCTCCTCGCTGGCCTCCTCTGCCGCGCGCATCTCCGCGACCGCGACTCTGCCCATGGCCACCTCTTGGATTGCCTCCAGAGCTATTGAAGCCCCCTCCACGGTTTTGATTGCCGCCTCTCCCGCGACCCCTATCACCGCCTCCTCGGACAGAGCCGCCCCGTTGACTCGCGTATGGTTGCTCGCTGGATGTAGCCTTGGGCGGCGGCGGAGGCGGAGGAGGAAATCTGAAGGACGACATTATTGTGGTTGAGAAATCGTGTTGCGCGCGATTAAAAGTGCTAATACATTGGGTATAGTAGTTACAAGAAGCGAATGATGGTAAGGTAGAAATCGCGAAAACGCTGGGAAGGCTGTTGCAGGACATGCGACGCGCCTCGGGAGTCCGCAAATCCCAAAAGTTCCTTATCGATACCACTAGCGCGGCGCCAGTGGTCACCCAAAGGGCTCTCACCATCAACTCCATTGTCTATATCCACCATGTCCAGGTAGCGACCGATTCTCTGCTCTTATATCCATGAAGCCTCCAAAGCTGCGACCATGTTCATACTTGTAAGTTGCTCCCAAATTCATTGTCGTCTTCATCGCCTACGCGCTTTCGCGCTGCGCGTCAGAAAATTTGAGCGGAAGAGAAAGACGGGACGTGGCTATGACTACGCGTAAAGCTCAGTCGCCGTGCATCGCGTCGTGCGCATATTGTGGATCTTGTACTGATTTTTGCATAGACCACGATTCAAGACTTGATACAAATCAAGCCGCAGGACTTCGAGAAGCCTAGCGCGCAAGCTATCAAAGATGTAGTCAACGACAAGTACAGCAATAGGATCGTTCCTGGCATTGGCCTATGCCTCTGCATGTGGGATCTCATTTCCGCGACTGAGGGTTTGATCGGTCACGGGACTGGGCTTGTCAATGTTAATAGTAGGTATTACTACATCCCTCGTGGAAACGCCGCTTACATGCAGCGCAGTTGAATTCCGCATGACTGTCTTCCGCCCTTTCCGTGGCGAAATCATCTACGGACGGATCAAGTCATCCAACGAAGAAGGCATCATTCTTGATCTGGAATTCACGTCGGAAGTCTTCGTCCCCTACCAAAATCTACCAGAGAACTCATCCTTCTCCAAAGCTGAGATGGTGTGGATCTGGAACTCTGAAGGCACAGAGCTTTTCTTCGATAAGGGCGAGCCAGTTCTGTTCAGGGTAGAGCATGAAGAGTGGTATGATCAGAGGCCGACCATTATAGAAAAGGATGAGAAGGGCGAGATCATTGAAGAGAGACCGACTGCCTGGAAGATAATAGTAAGTCGTGTACAATTTGGGTCTGAGATAATGTCTAACGTGAAGTCTAGGGCTCCATGGCTCAACCTGGTCTTGGTCCGACTCTTTGGTGGGCCGAAGGCGGAGAGGAAGAAGAGGGCGAGGAAGGCGATGTCGAAATGGAGGGCGCCGAGGAATGAGTGCTTCCAGCCAGCGAACATATGTCGCTTACCGAAATACCCAATCACAACGCACGCGCAACTCGACCCGTCGGTTTACTTGCATTCTGTATCTGTAGGGTCTAGGCAGAGCTTCGCGGTGCGCGTCATTACTACCATCATCATCTCCTTTCCCGAACCTTCTGAATGTTTGTTGACTTTTAGTTTGCTTTGGCTGGTTGGTCTTGTCTGCAACATATATTTCAATGCCAGAGCTGATGCAAGATCGATAATACCCCAGTAAACTCCAGCACAAATGGCGGTCTTCTACCACCACAAGATGTTTTCGTATACTATGGCTCTCAAAGACAGGTACTACCTACAAGATCTCTTCAGAACGCACCCCACTCTTACAGTCGACACCGAGCTCATGAATGCCAAAACATCCTTATCGTTCGATGTGGTGCAGCTATGTACAGCAATTTCACACGGCTGCAGCATTGATTCAGTAAGAACGTACATGGAGCACTACCGCAAAAACAATGCAGCATTCCAAGGAATGGTCAACCAGGCTATCCCCGTCCTCTACTACGCCATCGGTAGAAACTCGCCTGAGATGGTGAGCCTCCTTCTTGAGTATGGATTCAGTCCAGAGGGTTGTATCAACACGACTCATTTCATTCCTGCGCTCGCGTTCGCCGTCATACATGGCCATCTACAGCTACAAGACACGACCGAGATCGTGAAGGTGTTACTCGCAGGCGGTGCTGACCCAAAGTCCATACCAGAGGATATGTGGCAACGATACTTGGAACAGCCTTCGGAGGAGCGTCCGACCACCGTGAATTATACGGCAGCGTTCCTTCAGTGGTGCGGCAAACGCACACGTACCCATCTAGCACAGGGTCTCAACCTCACGCAGCGATACTACCTCCACAGAGCCAACTCAGCAAGGCCCTTTGAACCCAGGGAGATATCTGAAGCCAACCTTCATGATGCGGAGGGTATTTTAAAGCTCGCTTACCGTATCATTGGACAACTGCCCGTACTCCACGACCTTCAGCAGCAAATTCTCAACCAGATAGCGTCCAATGTAGACAACCCAGCTGCCCTAGTCATGGTGTTCGCCGGGCCCCCGGGACACGGCAAGACTGAGCTTGCAACGCAGCTTGGAGGCCTGCTGCGTGTTCCAACTACAACCATCGTATGTTCACAGATGAACACCGACACGGAGCTTCTGGGTTCAAGGAACGGTTACCACGGTTCGACACAGGGCTCTGCCCTCAACAACCACCTCTCAGACAACATCGGTGAGTGTTCGGTAGTCTTCCTCGATGAGTTTGACAAGAGCTCGCAAGCAGTCTACAACGCGCTTCTCACAATCATGTCAGAAGGTAAGCAAACAGGATATGTTTTCTGATGCGTCATAGTTGACTGACACGATTGATAGGCAAATATCAAGATCGAAGGCAGAATCGGATGATCGATTGCTCCAAGACTATCTAGGTTCTGGCAAGCAACTTGGGCGATGAAGCGATCACCACGTGCTACAAGCGTCAGCTGGAGCACTTGACGGATGACCAGAAGCAGAACGTCAATCTTGCGCCTCTCTTGCGTCAGCTTGCGGGTATCTTCAAAGGACGCTGGGGAGTACGTATTGACCATACTACCCTCTTTTAGCAAGACATTGAGAGGCTGACTTTGACAGGCCGCGTTCGAATCGCGCATCGATTGCATAGTTCCTTTCTTCCCCTTCTCGCCCGGCGAGCAAGCTGTCGTAGCACACAAGTTCCTCCGCGCTAATGCTGCAAGTGTCCGCAAAGACATCGACTTGCGCAAAGAAGTCCGACGACACATGGGCCACTGTCACATCGGCCTTCAAGAAGACGGTAAGCTTTGCAGCCGTTTGGCTGAGCGAGGGTACGACGTCAGCTCTGGGGCGCACGGGCTAAAACAGGAGGCGAGGAGGGTCCAGATCATGGCCCGCAAGGTATACAACACCATTCCTCATCTTGTGACGGAAGCGTCCAATGACGGCCCGTTGGAGAGACTGGAGGTCAAGCTCATGCACACTGGCCAGAAGGAGTATGAGGTTGGGGTGATTCTGAAGCGGGATTGATGAGATGGTAGAGAGAACGCATGCTGTCTGACAATTGAGAGATGACGGTTAAGGTCTATTGTTCGGTATCTCATTCATCACACTAACATGTCATCTATCGATGCTATCAAGTAAATCCAACATGTGTTTCTGACGTCTCATCCTTGCTGAAGATGTATTGGGTGTTGGCTGTGACGTATGTGACGATAGTGGCCGTTCATGGCTATGGCTTGCTTGCGGCGCAAGTGGAGCGACATATGTTGCAGTGCTGCTCATCGGTGGTCGTGGGTTTGAAGAGACAGACGACACAGACCAAGCTCTACCACTCTCAGCCTGACCTCGTGTGACCATAGAAGGGCGTATTCGGGAGGACACGGAATCAAGCTCGAATCTCGGCGGCGCGACTGATGTTTCGTAGGCGGTAGCGGTCGGCTCGCTGACCGTATGCGGGATGACAGGTCGGTGTCTTGGGATAGCCGGTAATTCTGAGGCAAATGTTGTGTTGTATGCTTGGCTCGCAGGCAACTCATAGTTAGTCGTTTGCGAACTGAGCCGTTGACTTCGTCTCGAAGTATGAGCTGGTTCGCTACCTGGCAGCTCTACTGCCAGATTCACATCCCCCATCAACTCCGATAATTTCTCAAACTTCTTGTCTTGGAAGACATGGGGTCTTGGGACTAGAGTTGGCGCGATAGGATGGAACGCATACGGATTTACTGGTCCGTCCGAGTTTGTGGCACTCATGAAGCTATCGCCTGCCAGTTCTGCGGGCACTTGATGCCTCTCTGGGTACATATAGGCCCGTGTGTCTTTTTCAGCTGACGGTATGATATGCGCATCATCACGGGCTTCACTCAACGATGACCGCGAGCTTCTAAGGCTCGGCTGATCAATGCTGAGATGACGCTTGGCATCTTCAGGGTATGCTTCCGAGCGGCGACTACACTGTTCAGCCAACGCATAAGTAGGAGGTGGACTGCTTGGTAAGTTGGGAGGCGATGGATATCCCGAGCTGTATGGCTTGTAGTCTCGGTGGTCTGGCATTACTTGCAGTTGTCCACATAACGATCGTAGGGTGGACTTCACCGCATCAATGGTCGACGCGTCTTGTGTGTATGGTGCTTCGGTAAAGAACGACTTCTGATTCGCTGGCCACGAAGTGTTGTTGGCAGGGTAAGATGTCGTTCGATTGTTGTCCCCCAAGAAGACCTTCGGTGAGCCATCACCCAGTTGAGCGTGGCCGGTTGATCTTCTGTGCCGCGACACGATGTCGTCAAAGTAGGTGGTATCTTGATACGTTGGAAGTGCCCCAGTACTTGGAAGGTCCTCCAAGCGATTAAGAAAGCTGAGTACATTCGACAACTGTTGATGGCATACCATGAGTTCGCTCTTGCGGTCCGCTAGTCGTTCTCGGTCTTTGAGAATGTGTCGAAGTTTCTGAGATTGGTCCAAGACATCGCGATGCTGCTCGACGCCGCTGCAGTCCACCCATCTGCCGATCTCCTCCAAGGCGGAGGTGGTGTTCTCGATACAACTCCGTATCCAAGGGAGTCTTTCGGGTGTGTTTGCGAGTTTTGTCCGTACCGAGCCAACGGCGACCAAACGCTCGACCTCGGACAGGTCGTTACGAACAATTCGTATCGTTCGCAAGAAGACTTCGCTCTCGCTTCCTATGTCTGCGCTACGTATCGCAAGATCAGCGAACTGAAACGCCTTGCTGACACTGGCGGATCTCGTGGGTATACCTGTTACATAGTAAGCTCTGCGCTGCGCTCTGATCGTACAGCATACATACCTATCAGTCCGCTCATATTATGAGACTCTGACTAGTTCGAATAGTAACGGAGAAGCTCCTCAGCGACGACTGATGCTTATGATGAAACGGAGATGCAGGTCGTGAAGACCATGTTCACGAACATGACAGCTGCCGGTGGGCGGCTCATAGACCCCCAACACTCTGTAAGCAGCGGAAGCACCAACAAGGCTGAACCTGCGGGTACTGGAAGACCCCTCATGCTGTGTCGCAGTGCTTCGAGAACCGATCTGCAGCTCAATGCTTCTTTCCACGGGCTGAGCTCATGCGTCTGCGACTAAACATAGGGTCATTACTCCGCGGGCCATGATGCCGGGCCTATACCAGATAATCGAACTCATCGAGCTAAGTATATCTCACGACCGAGTGGCTGCTGCGTGTGTGGCGATGGCGAGTCGCAGATTGGACGGAACAGAAAGGGACGCTCCTTCTCCGCGCCGGTGGCACTGGCGCTAAGACACATGGAGCTTAGTGCAAAAGCAAGCATCAACTTCGCTCTTCAGCCTCGTCCCTTCCTCCTGTGCGTTTTCACCCGCACCCATCGCCATATCCTAGACGCGTCTCAGCTGATGAACCGGTGCATTGCATACTGCATAAACTATCGATGAAACGCCATTTTCGCCCCACCACACCTCCTTCTCAAGCCGCAATCTCCTTTTCCAGCAACACGCGTGACGGCACCAGCACCTGCCCCTGGTCTCCGATAATCTGTAGCAATGCTGGGAACACCGCCAACCCCCCATGTTCGCTAGAAAACCCGAAACGGAAGACTCCGGGCTGTTCAAAGAGTAGGAACGCGAAGTTTGCCGATCGCGCAAGAATCATGTCCAGATTCTTGCGGCGCTGAGCTTCCAAGCCACTCTGCACGAAGGGCGCCACGACGGCATCTAGGTCTGCAGCCGCACTGGCGAATCTTTGGAACCGCTCTTGCGCATCCTGACCAACTCGACCATGCAGGAGCGCACCAGTCATGGTCTTCCATTGGCTGTACATGGCTGATTGCGCTGAGTTGTGAAGTTAGCTTCCTGTTCCAGAACTCGCAAGGCTGGGATGAGCTTACCGGCATTCTTACCGTCCTTTCCAGGAACGGCTGACGCGAGAGGCGCAAGCTCTCCCGGAAGCAAGCTCTCAGCGCGTTCTCCGGTGCATCTCGAGAGCACACTCCAGGCTACGATGAGGCGAAGCGTTTCGGCTCGGGTCGAGATATTCGAGAGCATGCTTGCAAGTACGGAAGAGCTTGTGCCAGTTGCAATCGCCAGCTCTTTCATATTTGCCTGGTTGATACTGCCTGCCGGAACGGGAGAAACATGGTAAAACTCTCGAACGTGGTTCTTGATGCTGTCCCGTATCTTCAAGGCTGCATCTGTGATGGTATCATCTGCTACAGGTTGAGGTAGCATATCGTCGATGTTTGAAGCATAAGCGCTGGTAGCGACAGTCGGGCCTTTCTCAACTTGCCCAGCAGCGCCATAGTTGTGAGCGGAAGGTGGTAGATGATTTGGCGTGGGACTGTATCTTCTCTGCTTCTGACGGCGTAGCAGGAAAAAGAACACGGCTCCAGCGATCAGCAAACCGGCGAGGAACATTCCAATGGCTACCCCGGCCACCGCACCTCCTGGAAGTCCTTCCGAAGTCGAAAGCGGTGCCGCCGACGCCGTTGCATTCCGACCCGTGGTGTTGCTAACAACTATGCCTTTGCTCGGTGATTGTTGAGGAGTGGGTGGTGATGTCGTTGGCGGCGTGGTCGAAACACATTTCGACTCCGTAGAGTTAATCCAAGTGAGGGCGCAAGTGGGTGCCGGGACATTTGTGTCCACTACTGCTGCAGGAGCAGAAGTTGAAGAATTGGGTAGCGATGTCACCTGGGAAGACGACGATGCCGATGCTGGTGTCGATGGTGTGGATGACAACGCTCCCCCGATCGCCGGCGCGGTCGAAGAACTTGGAGTCGCTTCCGGACTGGATTCCGCTACCCCGCTCATGATCTGTCTATTCGCAGACGTTCTCTTGGGATAAACACGTATGAAACTTCAGAAGACAACACAGGAGCGAAGATGTTGAGACTACCTAGGTATCGTCGACTGAAGCAAGGCAGGCGTACCGCAACCCGATAGCACAGCCCGAGCAGATATATGCATGCTTCAGCTGTACAACAGTAGCGCAGGCTTCGAAGCTCTGGCCGCATTATTGGTTCACCGGAAATGACAAATGTTGACGAGGCTGATACCAGTAATGTGGTGTTGAACTCTATGGTGTGGGGTCCAAATGCATTGTTGCTGAACGGTCACCAGCACGAGCCTGCGTGGCGTGTTACTACTGCATATCGGTCTGTCTCACCAAATCAACGTCGTGTAATACCGCCGCAAATGAATTGGTACCGCTGCAGACCCCACGTTGTACTTTTATGAGAATGGTCTCGACCTGTCGGCAAAAATGAAGTGTGAGGCTGAGCCAAGAGTGGCTTTCCAGAGGACAGGGAAGGCCGGCATATCTCAGCCTTGTCGTTTCTTGCACCTGAATCTCATACATGACAAACACCACTACGTGTTGCTGAAACTACGCGAAGCTATAGCACTCTTGTTGTTGTTACGAAGCAGGAATCGACTATCGTTTTAACCCGCGCTTTCATCATGGAATATTCACAAACTCGACCAGACTTAGTCGTATCCATCGATTTTGGAATGACATGTAGGTAGCGACTTGTGAGTTGACAAGATCTCAGCGCTCATAGGATGTACAGGTACTGGTGTCGCATACTGCAACGTAGCGACTGGGTCTGATAATGTACGGCACATTCAACGCTGGCCCGGAAGAACGCAAGCGAATGAGAACAAAGTAAGATCTTCGATGGTATAACATAAAGCCTAAGCTAACTTCGTGCAGGTGCCGACGTTGCTTGTATACCCACAGAACTCCGAAGCGCCGTCATCATGGGGATTTCTTGCTGAAACTGCACAAGAGAGCAGTGGTGCAGGTCACGAGAGCAGGGAATGGTTCAAGATCATGCTCGACGAGGACCTACTGGAACAAATGAGATCCAAGTCTAGTGAGCCATCGAAAGTACCACATATCCAAGAAGTAGAGAAATGGTAAGCTCGGTACTCGAAGTCGGTCCTGCAGTGAGCTGATGGTTTTCCAGGTACACGGATTATTTCAGCTACCTCTACCGTACGATCGAAGCGCGACTACGAGGCGAACTCGCAAGCCGATGGGAAGACGCGAACATCGAGTTCATCTTCTCGGTACCTACAACATGGAAACCTATACCCACTGTGGAACGATTCAGGAAGACGATATCCGCAGCTGGTTTTGGGTCGTGCGCCAGCCACACAGCATCAATAGGGCTGACGGAAGCTGAGGCGGCTGCGGTACATACGGCGCGGAGTATGCCTGGTATCTTCAAGGTGAGTCGCCTAGCAGATCATGATACTCTTGCCCAGACTATAACATTACCAACAGGAGAACGAGTTACTCTTCGTATGCGACGTGGGTGGAGGTACAACGGTGAGAAAGCATCGTAGTGCCGCTTCATGGCTAGTTCGCTTAGTGTTATAGGACCTATCGGTTTTCCGAGTGAAGAACACTCAAGGTGGCTCTCTTACTCTCGAACAGATTGATGTTGTATTCGGTAAGATTCTCGCAGCATTACACCTGTGCTATACTGACCTCACGGAGGTGCCACTATCGGAGCCGCACAACTCGACAGTCTATACGAAAAAGAGGTGCTACAGCGATTGGAGCATGCCGACCGACTTCAGCCAATGGGACTTCAGGACATACATCAGGCGGCATGGGAAATGCGAATCTCGAAGGAATACCAGAAGTTTGTTTGCATCATCGACAAGAGCGATGACAACCTAACTGACTGCTCAGTGCAAAATGCGATTACGGCTCGGAAGAATCTTTGATGGATACCGAGACCTTTGCGGTGCGGGTACCCAAGCTGGACAAGGCTTACAACAACCGAGAATGCGCTATTAGCGCCGGCGACATGTACTTCCAGCGGTTAGACTTACACATGAGACCTACTCGTGGTGTTCTTAACTGACACCTCTGTAGCGACGATTTGAAAGGCTTTTTCGACACTCAGGTATCTAAGCTTTTCGAAATGATGGACAAACAGCTCGCTCGTGTTCAGCAAAAGTTTCCATCCGAACAAGTGGTACGTCAACTTACATGTCACGCTATAATGTCACCGTCTCACCCAGTTCAGTCTCATCTCGTCCTGTCCGGAGGTCTCGGCAACTCCGCATACGTTCAAAACTGTCTACGAAGCCGATACGCATTCGGCAGCACGCCACACTCCAACGCACAGCATATGCAGATCCGCATCGCACCCGACCCGCAACTCGTGGTCTGCAAAGGCAACGTGGCCGACCGTATTCAGAAGCTCAAGACCGGTCAATCGGTGCTCGGGTGGCGATGTAGCCGTGCATCATACGGAACGATGTGTAAGATGCTGTACGACCCGTTCAACCTTGCGCATTTTGGGTTGAGGACGGAATTTGATCCTTTGGATAAGAAGGAATACGTCATGGACTGTATCGACTGGTTTATCAAGCAGGTAAGCGCACTCTATGGGTACAATATGATAACAAGACGCTGACTGTGTCAGGGCGAGCCAGTCTCGAGCGACTTCCCCATAGTAAAGAACTTTCAACGAAAGTGCCCACCAGCCTCGTCCAAGTACCCCAACCCACCGAGAATCTACCCCACGGAAGTAATATGCACAGAAGTCGACAAGTCTGAACTTCCAACAGTGAAAAATAACGGTAGGTGTACATCCCCGACATGACGAAACACAACACTAACATCATCAGCGTGCCGCTCAATCTGCAAGATCGAATCCGACTTCTCCTCCCTCCCACTTTCCCTCTTCAAACTAAAAAACCGACACTGGTGGAACTCCGGCCCGAAATACCATCGCATCAACTACGTCGTCAAAGTGAATCTCGGGCCCGCTGATGTTTCCTTCGAACTTTGGCACAACGGTGTCAAGCTTTCGAAGGATAACTCCATCAAGGTTGAGTGGCAAGCGAGTGCGCCGCCTGATCCGAACGCGACGACCATTGCGCCAGACTTCCCGATGAACAGTTTGCCGGCGGTATCGAGCTATGATGCAGCGCATCGCCGTACGGTGAGGTCGGTTGGGGATGGTGGCGGTAGGCTTGGGACGAATTGGGGGAAGTGGGAGAATAAGAATGGCGTGAGATCGCAGGTGATGTCGGCATCGCAGAATGGGTCCAGGGTGTGGTAGGAAACAGTATTGTTCGCCCCCATGCGCATCGTGGATGGGTTCGCTGAGGTTCAACTCATCGTACGCAGGTTGCGATTTTCGCGCGTTTGTCGTTCCCGGAGCCGTGTGTTGATCATGTTCCCATTTCTGTAGCGAAGTCGACCAGCGCCTATAACCGCAGGAACATGGTATTCCAAGTATACAACATGTTTATCGCAGAGTCTCCAACGTTCCTCTCAAACCCCGCCCATTCATCATAAGGTCTATCCAAATCACAGCATCGCACAACAGGAAAAATGCCGCAACCGCCATGAACATAACCATCAGAACGGCGAAAATTACGCCACAAGCGTAAAATAGCTGGCCGACTTTTTCTTCAACAGCAAATGGCGGATCGAACAGCTGGCACCGACATATAGGACATAAATGTCCACCTGGAGATTTAACGAGCTCGGCAAGGCAGTCTCGGCCCATAACGTGGTTGCAGGGAAGAAAGAGCATCCCGGCGTGAGTAGTGTTGTCATAGGGTTCCCAACAGAGGCAGCATGTGTTGTCGTTGAATGTGTCGGTCGGTACCGCCGGGAAGGTCCGCCAATTCAAGAATTCGTCTCTGGAGACGTAAAGGCCGAGGAAATTTTCGAACATGGCTGGTGTTTAGTTGGGTGGTAGGTCTGTAGAGTTTGTTCAGTACAGCACGGAATGCAAGGGCGAGTTCGTTTAGTACAGCACGGAATGCAAGGGCGTGTTAAGTATAGGTGAGCGGTGGGCAACCACGGATGAGGATGATGTTGGAAATGGTTGGTACCATCAAATCGATTTTCCACGCTGGA